TAACACGTTGGCTGCGATTTTATCATGTGCCTCAAGATTCATCAACTTAAAGCTCACATATATATTGTAATTATTATAGATCAGGTACAGTTTGCAGAAGCACTGTCACTTTTTATTCAAATCTTTAAGTATTGTGCAAAAATGGGGAAAAATTAAACTCGGGGTCTGTAATTATCTTAAAGATTCACAGAGTGCAACAGGCTGTGAGGCGCTGGTGAAATTCACTGTGAGTAAACTAAGTTATTGTTCCCTTTGTTGAAGGTCAATACAGGAAAACTAGCAAGCTGTGCTACATGGATAATCCAGCCACCGAACCACCTGAGGAGTGATGAGTGGCAGCATTTTGGTTTCATCTGCCACAGATGGAAACAGTTCAGATAAAGGTAAGGTCATCAGCTGACAAGTTAGTTACAGTAATAGTAAGTAACACATGTAAGCGAGTGAAACTACAGCTGTGTCCCAAATTCAGGGGCCAAATCCTTCAGAGGACGTGGTCTACGAAGGTGTCACCGTCGTAAACCACGATCGAAGGCTGAACCAAAATGAGACGATCTGGTCTAAGAGGGACAAGAGGGATGCATTTGAAGGAGCCTTTGAAATGAGACAGTCTAGTCGCGCAGCTGTGACTCATCCGGTCTTTAAATGCATTTGACACTGACATGTCAGTTCTACCATTTAGATTAGCATTAGAGTAAATGGGTTGCCTTCAAATGAATTTGAACAAATGTTAGTTCTCAGTTGTTCACGATTGACTTTTTGAAAATGTCCTTCCATAGAGGGGCCCTTTATTGTGGGGAGGAACTACAACAACCCATGTTGGCGTCTGGCAGGAGACCTGGGTTTCCTCATTTCCTGTCAAGTCTCCTATAAATGCCATAAAATGCCCCAAAATTAATCATGAAAACTCCTTATAATTATCTAACTTTACAATGCCTGACGGGAAAGTTGCCCAGCAGTACAATCTACCAAATGCTTTCTGTGTTCCCATTAAGAGTGTTGGAATTGTCAGATGTTATCTGAGGCTGCAAACTGATTCCAAATCACATTTAGTTCAAGTATTTATAGAAGATCAGGTAAGACACACTGTAAACAAAACTGAGTGATAATGTCACTGTGAGTGAGAGCAAGACAGACACAGACGCTGCAGATGCTCTTGTTATTGATTTCAGCAGATTGAAGCGAAGTGAAGGCCGAGGCTGCTTCACAGCTCTTATCAACATGACAAGGACGCCTCCTCAGATACCAATTTCTCTCCCAAATATTAACTCATTAATCATAGCTGCTGTCCAAGATGGATTTTAATTTTGCATAGAACATGTCTCCCCCATCCCGCCCCAACCCCCAACTACCAACCCCAGACCTAAACACCACCAGATTAGATTCTTTGTCCTTGCTGCGTTTCTGTCATCGCATCGTCTGAGACGTCGGCACTGTCAAAAACACACATAACCTTCATACAATGTCACAGCGACGACACCGTTTACTCAACTGATATTATTCTGTATGTACCGAAGATAGAATTCAATACCGTGGCACTAACAGATACAGGCTTCTGGATGATAAAGGCAGCACTATAATTAACAACAAGAGCCAGTCAAACTCACTCGGCAGCTTGGAATCTCTGTTTTAATACTGCTCTCAGTCAATAATCTACGTTTCATTTTTTTGAATCACTGTTGAGCTGTTAAAGCTGTTTCACAACAAAAGCCTAATAAGCAAAAGAAGGGATTATGAATGTGAAATGTCTGTGCAGGAAGTGTTGAATTTAATGGATGGAAAAAAAAACAGCAAAGTAAAACCAGCTTCGCTTATTTAATGAATGAAACCGAATTCTTTTAATTATAGCAGTGGTTTCCAACCTGTGGGCCGGGGCCCACTGGTGGGCGCGAACGTGTTGCAAATGGGCCGATAAATATTTTGAAAAGATGTAATTATATAAAAAAAAATCTGTCTTTAAATGTTGTAAAACGAAATGATCCCCATCAAACAAAAAAGAGAAACTGAGCCTCCTAAATGTTTGTCCTGCTTTCTGTTCAGTCCTGAATGTTGGATTGTTATCATTAAAATGAAAAGTGTTCTGAAGGGATCGTCGGGCCTCCATGTTGTCATGGGGTCGGATGTGGGCTTTATTATGAGAGATTTTCAAGTGAGCCATGAGAGAAAATATAGAAATTGGATAAATGAATGCTATAGAATGTGAATTAGTTTTGAGGTTATACCAGTAAATTTTAAACTGGAGCAGATCAGACAAGAGGGGGACGTTTTACTAAAATTTGACAAAATATATCAACAATAATGTCTTTGATATAAAAGCTGGTTCTCTCTGCAGCTGAGGTGAAAAAAGCCTCTATTCAAGAATTTATGGCTTTGAATTTCACATAACACTGTCAGTGACAATTAGGTATGACTGTGGATACTGTCTCAACTGTCATTTTGAAACTATATTTATGATGTTGTGTTATTAAGTCAGACTGTCGTATTAACATCTATCCAACTGTTTCTGTCTGTGCTTCCCACATCTTGCTAAAGGTCTATATGCAGCAAACCAAACTTCTTTTAATCCCTTGACTGAGACGATGAATGTTCTGCTCTTCGTCTCTGTAACACAAGTGTATGCACCCATCTAAATGCAAATGTCCAAACCTGCAATGCAATAAGGCTGCAAAGTGTTTGCCTCTCTCTCTCTCTCGCTTACTGCTCATGCTCTAACATGCTCACACTATTTTCTTGTCTTAAACAAAGGGGGCACTTAAAAGCAAGGAGCAAATGAGCAGTGCTTTGAATCTGGCCACAGCAGCACTAAAATTGAACATGTATCTTTCACTCTTTCTTTAGCCTCCAGTTCTCTCTCTCTCTTTCTCTCTCTCTCTCACTGCTCCATGTACATGTCAATGTGTGTGCGTGGGAGAGGAAGGGAAGCTGTGAGCGACACTTTTAATTTTCCACATGCTGCATCAGTGTCGTAGCAGCGATAGCGTGGGGTTAGCGTTGTCCCAGACAAGAGCTGCCGAGCTGTCCAACACACTCAGCAGCTTTCACTGGAGAACGCTGCACTGACTTTGTCAAGATTAAAAACACTGCGGCCGGCCCTGGTACTTTCAGAGGGGACATGGTGTAAAAACACCCACTCTGAGTACTGAACTCCCCCATGTGCTATAGACACTATACATTTCCCATGTTAATGCCATTGGATCTGGACCACTCAGTGTCAGCTGGGGTTAAAGTGTGTCATAGCTATTGAATGAATTTGTGAGTTATAGCCAAAAACGTGTTTTGTGAGGTCACAGTGACCTTGACCTTTAACCACCAAAATCTAATCAGTTTATCTTTGAGTCCAAATGAATGTTTGTGCCAAAGTTCCGTCAAGGCGTTACTGAGATATTATGTCCACAAGAATGGGACTGACGTGCGGATGTACAAACTGGAAACAATATGGCTCCGGCTCTAACTGTCGCCGAAAAGCTGAATACTGCTCAAATTTTTTGCCATGAAAATGTCTGAAGCTCAGTTAGTGGGCCATGTTCACTTCAACACATAATATAAAAGAGTTGACTAAAACATAAGTCAAGTTTCCAAAATTTTGTTTTCAAGTTTATACAAATTTCCTGAAACTTCACAAAGTAAAATGTGCTTTAGTGCACATATCTGTCAACAGCACTTGGTGAGTAAAGAAATGAAGTTTGATGCTGAACTCTGCTAACGTTGGCTACGTACGTTGGTTCTGGGTTCAAGATAAACAATCGATGACACCAATTCTTCAGTCTAGTGCTATTAAACCACTGCAGAAGAAGAGGGCATCTCTGCAGTGAGGTGGAGGATTTGCTATTGCTACACAGCTAACATTAGCATTAACAGCTGTTTACTTACCAGTCTGGAAGAAACTTTGTGAGTTCAGCAACAAACCTCATTCCTTTACTCAACAACAGCTGTCTCCAGAGGTGGAAAGCAATCCCTTTGTTCTTTTGTTATTTTATTTTCTTCTACTGAAGTTAGCATGCTAACCAGTTAGCCTTAGCTGGTTGGTCTGTCTTGTCACTGTAGCCTCCAGTCTGGCCTGAAGACGTAGTGCTGCTCACGGTACCTACTTTAACCTACAATGCAACGATGGCTGAAATTCTCTGCCAGACTAGTAAGTAAACAACTGTTAATGCAAGTGCTAGCCATGTAGCAACAGCAAAACTTACAAATAGCTCCTTTAAGTTGCATGCTTTATGTACAATCATGATTTATTTTGCTAAGTATGATTCCATTGAATTGTGTCACATTTCCATTACATGTTGTCCACCAACTTTTCCACCTCAGCCAAGCATGACATCAAAATGTGCATAAATAAATTTCATGGCAATCTGCCAATTCATCTTAGATATTCCTGTGTACAAGTGGAACCTTTGGTTTGATAGTGGCATTAAAAGAATAATCGTGGGGCTACCAAATTTATTAAAGTTTATCCTCTGGGGAAAATGGATGCACATTTCATAAAAATCTGGCCATTAGTTTCATGCAGTTTCTTGGTTTAGACCAAAGAGTTGGTAGTTAAATATTAGCTACTGGCACCATTCAAGAGCTACTTCATTGTACTGCAGTTCCATTCACAAAAGATAGATTAACTAGAATTACCATCGTTTTTGTGCAAGATATTGCAAGATATTGCATTCACAAGGCCAAAACCGACCTCTGACCACCAAAATCTAACAGTTTGTCCTTGACTCCAAGTGAATGTCTGTGCCAAACTTGAAGAAGTTCCATCAAGGTGTTACAGAGATATTGTGTCCATGAGAATGAGACGTATGTACATACGTGCGGACAACCAGAAAACAATATGTCTCTGTCTCTGACTGTCTCCAGTGCGAAGACATCAAGTTTCTAGAATGGGGCAAGTGCCAAACATGCTGGATTATATTTCCCATAATGCAATCAACAGTATCTTAGATCAGCTGTCAAAGGTTGACATATTAGTCCGTCATGGCCACATGTCAAATCAACAATATAGTGGTTCTTACCTGTCGCTCTCATCCCAGGATATACAGGTCTGGTTGGTGGTGCCCTGATGGATGAAAAGAGAAATCCATATGATTACCATCACAGAGCACAGCACTAGTATAACACATCATATCACAACAGCTTCATATCTGGAATTGCTTGAAAACAAAAGTTTATTTGTCACTCACGTTGTACAGGTGAGAAAATTCGACTACAACCGGAGCGGAGAGGGAGGCAGGAGTGGGCTTGATGGTCACTGACAACACCTTGGAGTTGAGGACTGTGCTGTTCCTGCAGATAGAGAAGAAAAACATCAGTGTTGATACATTTAACAAGGGCCCTGTTTGTGTGAGCTTGGCAGTAAGAGCACAGGTGTACAGGGCACCCTGCTCAGTGGGCGACAGGTGTGCCAAGTGTACTACACTCTCATGGGCAGCAGGACCTGGTGCACCTTTGAAAACAGGCTGGGATCAGAAAGCCTACATTATCATATAAGTGGGTTGTTAGGAGATTTTCTCAGAGGAAACTTATTGTTTTTTTCAAAATAAGACTACAGTGGCTCAGATATAACACCGGGAGGAGATGATGTCTCTATTAAGTTGAATTCATTTTGGACTTCTTCATTGTCAGTCAGTGATTTCTGTGCCGTTTATTTGTCATACAATGATTTACTGTACAACCACCCGCTGTTAAATGCCACCTTAGTGCCATATGTACAGTGACAGTCGTAGGCTCAAGTGCCAGGAGGCACCACACTGCTGCCTCTCTGTGTCTCCCACACACTGCGCCTCATACACTCAGCGAGGGGACGCCGTGGTGAGGCATGTCATGAGGAAGTGTCCCTCTGTGAGCACTGGTGTTGTTCATGCTGGCATCAATGATGTTTCTTTCCACTGAGAACTGAGTTATTAAAGGAATTATTTAACTCAGTTGCTCAGCGTCTAATAGCTCTCTATTACAACATTGTTTCCACACCGTATCTCCACCAACGGGGCTTGGAGATGTTCAACTCTTGTCCCACACCCGTATTCCAACGCAGTTACATTTGGTTTGTCAGATCTCTGGTGAATAAGACCATGACTTCAGCCACGACTTAAATTATCAAACCAGTTGGAGTTATTTATGCTTATTGAGACTTGGTTGAGCCCAGACTTAGGCTTACAAGACATGGGGGCGGCCTGGAAGTATTTTAAGGAGATAACTTTAAATATTTCCCACATGCTCTTGGGAAGTTCTCCACATTTGAATCCCATGGTTTTATGATAAATGTCAACATCCCTTTACTTTGTGTTTTAATCCGCAGAGCCCCAAAACCTGACATCTGACACAGCTCTGATTCAGGAGTTCTCCAACCTTTTAGCTTTAGTTTTTCTAGGCTTTGATAAAGTCTTGATTTTATGTGATTTTAACCACATTAAGACTTTTCTGTTTTTTCATACCTTTGTTTTGCTTTATAAAATTTCACCAAGTACTACACATATTCAGAATCAGAACAACCTCAGCTAATATCAATAAAGGCTTCAGTACAGTATAATAGAGGTTAATAGCCCATTAAAACAAGATAAACCAAAAACAGACTTTTCCTTATTTTACAGATATAACCCCTGCAAACCATAATAAAGAACAACTTCAATATAGAAAGTTGCACACATGTCTTTGGATTGATTTGAAGGTGATTTGATCTTTATCTGATCATGAGTTCTGCTCATTCTTTCGAGCAGTATTCATGCACGTTTTTTTGTCAGCTCCTTAAAAAATCATCTCCTCATCCTCTTCTGCTCTAAATATGTGACTGCTCACCTCCTTCTGTCTGTTTTCTGTCTCTACACTAAACTCAGATCAACTTCTCCTCACTTTAAACTCAGAATAAAACAGCACTGCTCCCAACTAGTTTGAGTATATAACAACTGACAGCCAAGCCTCTGAGTCAGACACTCTGATTGGCTTTGAGAGCAGCCACTGTGTCGAATTCATGACTCTAGACGTCACAAGCAAAGATGGCGGATGAAAATTCATCAATAAACACACAGACAGAAAGCAGCAATGCTCCAGACAAACAATAAAATTGAGTCTATGAGTCCGACTCACACAGACAAACAGGGTCTTGTTGGAATGTCCTGAATCTCTTGTTTAACATGAAACAAAACCAGGTCTAAACCTTGTACATGTCTGAACCTCTGGTCAAATCCTGATTTTATAACTGTGACATCGTCTGACAAAATCACCAAACACATAAATGAGAGACAAAGAGTCTGTGACTTCAGCTGGATTTACTGTAACATGATCAGAGAGAAAGTTAGAAGAGACAGACTGTCTTTCTTTTTTTAAGTTATTTTTTCAGGCTTTTGCTTTTATGACAATCATAGAGCGATTTACTTCAACTCCAGAACATCACAGACTTTTATTAGAGGTAGGTCTTTTAGTCTAACTCCCTCTGTTTGATATGTAGAGTTGGTCATAGTCGTTCGTAGGAAGCCTCGTTAGTGATGACTTCTCTCTCTCCCTCTCTCTCTCCTGCTCTCTCTGCTCAGTGTGTCTTATGTTCAGTTATTCCTCTGCCTCATTTAGTAATAATGATACATGGAATCAAAGTAGTTTATTTGCTGTAATGGAGGCAAGGCTCAGTGTATTGGAAGCGCTCCTCCTCTTCCCTGCAGTTCCCGAGCAGCAGGGAAACCAAAGCAGCTCAGTAGACAGAAATATCATCAGTCAGTCAGTCATTCAGTCAGTCAGTCAGGAAGTCAGTGACATTCGTGATTATAGGGCGGGCCCCGGTGCTACAACAAGGAGGAGGAGAGTCAAACCAACTCATAGCTAAATAACCAGAGATGAGGAGGAAATACAGACCAGCAGAATGAACATGGAGAAAGGACATACTGGTGGTGTCACATGACTTTCTGAAAGACCTCATGTCCACACATCACAAAGCAGTAAAAGTATTTCTCTAACATCACTGTAATAACCCTGTCTTTTTCTGAGTCATTGTGCACTTTAAAGGACGCAGTTTCCAGACTCAAACCTTCATCACGTCTTCTAGATGTTCAGCCTGAAAGAGGTTTTAAAGGAGGTGCCAGTCCCACAGTATGATCCATTGTAAATAGCTCTCTGTGTTCCCTCCTGTCTGGAGCGTGCTGTAGTGCACCCACTTCTCTAAAAACCAGCCATGACCCTCTTGATTTTAATCACTTCGTCTCATCTTCAAATGGCCATTTTATCCAAAGTTTTACAGAGGGCTGAAGTTGACTTCTTTTATGATTAATTATAAACTCTTTGATAACTCAGATTTCCACTCATTTCATAGTCCTGGAACTGCCCTCATAAAAACTTACTAATGATCTTTTACTTCCAGCTGATGAAGGAGACGATTTTAATTCTTTGTTTGAGACAGTTGATCATTCTGTTTTATTAGATCGCCTTAAAGAGCAGCTTTAGGAATAAAATCCTTCTTAGCAAACAGAACTTTTCTGGTGGCACTTCTTGGTCCTTCTTGGTCCCATTGACCTGTGGTGTTCTCCATTAACGGCCCCTTCCTGTCCTGTATTTGTATGCTGGGGCATATCATTCATACACAAAATATAAAGACCAGTGAAGAGGCCAACTTTCATAATATACTATCTGGTCTGTATGAAATAAAATGCTGGATATCCCAACGGTCTTTGTAAAGGGTTCATCTGGCTGTTCCTAAGGAGACTTGGCTTCAGCTCCTAAACTCACTGCCTGAAGATCTGACTCTTGTAGAATCAGTAACATCTCTTAAATCACTTCTCAAATCTTTAATTGGTAGCACACTGTTTTTTTATTTAATTTACTCATTTTTTACTTGTTGTTATTGTTTTTAATCTTATATTTGGGGTATTTTACACAATTTTGCTTTATTTTATTTTAAATGTGTAATTTTGCTGCCTAATTTCAAGTTCTTCTTGTTTTCTTTTTGTTTGTTAATCCTTTTGAAAATCATGTAAAGCTCTATGTGACTTTATTTTGAAAAATGCTGTATAAATAAACTTATTATTACACTAGCAGCTCTGTGGGGCTGTACTTAGCCACACTGCTCACAGTCTCATAATCTACATCAGCTCACAGTGACAATGCTAATATTCAGATATTTAGAAGGTAAACTGTTTGCCATGTTAGTTTCATGTGTCAGTATGTTTATTAGGATTCCTCCTCTGAGGATCTTGAATGTCTCTGTTCCAGGTATAAATGCTGTAAAAAAAAAATACTGAGGATACATCATCTGGGGACCATGACTGTCTGTACAGAACTTTGTGCTATCCATATTTTACTGGATGAGTAAAATCTTTGACCTGTTTGTGGAGCTAGATGGAAAGTCAGACATCACCAAAGTCACAAGGACTCATCCTCTGGGGACCATTAATGGCTGCACCAAATTTCCAAAGCTATCCAATAGTTGTGCAGCCATTTCAGTTACAACCGAACATGTCAAAGTCATTAGCATTCGTCCACTTTGGACCATGAACAGCAACTAACTCATGGCAGTTCATCCAGTAATTGTGGACACACTTTGGTCTAGAACAACATGGTGGACCGATGTGAAAGATCCTATAAAAGGACAGACTGACATTTCTGACATTGCTACCAGGTCACAGAGCTGCCACAGAAACAGTCCAATATGTAACAGATTATTGACTCAGACGTCTCTCATTGCCAAGGCTCAGAGCAAACATCTAAAATCCTACCAGTTAAGTAAACCCTAAAGAGTTTGAGGATTTTTCTTGCATCTGAAGAGGTGCACATTGTTTTTCAACAGCTTATCTAATACCATTTTTGGCATTTTATTTTACAATCTTCCTGCCTGCTTAGTATGCATTGCAATTTCTGTTTTTCATAGGTACTATCAATCATGTGGAATGAGACAATCAGGAAAAAGTGAATTGCTACTGCAAGTACTGACATGGAAAGCTTCCAGTCCGCCAAACATGTTCAACAGCCCATGCTCTGTTTTCCAGTTCCTCACATCATCACTATATCCTCTACACGACAATCGCACTCTCACCATTCCAAAACACAATCAGTCAACTTAAACCTTCGTGTCATCTAGTCTCTTGCCTCAAACTCATCTCATTTTCCTCGAGAGGGGAATCAAATGCAGAAAAAGAGACAAGACAAGGTGGTGAAGGAAAAAAAGAAGAAGAGCAGTGAAGAGCTGAGAGAGAGCAGCAGCAGAAATCCAGAGATGGTGAACAAACGTTGGAGGACTGGAGAGAGTGAGGGTCTTCTGCCTTTCTCTGTGTTACCAGTTCATTATGTGCTTTCACCACATTATGCTAACACAGAGCTCCTTACCACCAGAACCACAGCCAGATAACAGCCAGCTTCTCACACAAGCTTGAATCTCTGTATGCACATACACACACACACATATAATTACACAGAGCTGCACCATACACTGCCGGGTTAAATGTATGTTAATCATCATGCAAGCAGCAAAGGCAACTTCCTCCAAGAAAATCTCTTTACTCACGGAGATAAAAGACATACTGGGGCCACCCACTGCTAGTGTGCTGCTAATCCTTGATTTCATTCAGCCGGAAACATTCACTCCAGAGCTCTGATGTAAAAAGCCCTGACCGAACGGTGACATCCATAAAACCCAGCACAGTGTCGTAGTAGAACCTAGAAGCCTCAGATCCTGCGGTTCAATGTGCGGCTGCTTTAATTAAGGGCACCGTCAACATGGCAATATGAGCCTGTCTGTGCAGCGGCTCATTATGACCTGTAGTTAGGTTTTGTTGAGCGACAAATTCTTGGAGGTTATGGTGGATGGATGAATATGACACAGGAGTGCGGTGTTCGATTCCCATGTGAAAGTAGCAGTTTATATTGTAACCATGACAACAAAGATCATCTAATGTTGAGGAAGTACTTATTTTAACCCAAATCACCATCTTTTACTAACCCTAACCAAGCCAGTTAGGTTGTTATTATAGTAACCATGGTGAGGAAGGCTGTCGGCACACTCCACGTGTTTATCATTATGACCATGACAAACATGGCCCAGTACGCCTGCTGCTATTTCAGGAGACACTCCTCTGGGTCGTATCAGAGGGCTAATGGTTTTTCAGGTTGGAGGAGTTCCTGGTAAATATTGTATAATCATTGCTGTTAACTGGTATGTGATCTATGTCACCAAGGCACTTTCACTTTTAAACCAAATGCATGTTTTTTTTTTTTTTTTTTCCATTATAAAGATCACCAACATTCATCGGATTAGTGGGAGTAAGTTCATCCTGGAAGAATCCTCCTCCATGCTGGGTGATATTTCTGACTTCTATCCCTAACTGGAGAAAATGTGCAGCCGACTAATAGTTCAGTTTCAGAGATCTAGCAGCAGATTGAACTGAAACATCACATCGAAATTCAAAATGTGATCAAAAGAAGGTTGAACTGACAGAAACCTCAGGGTGAATCAAGACTGTTGTATCACTGCCTTCAAATGAAACTCGGGAGCTCATGGTTACATCATGGGATGTCATGTACAGAAGTAGTTAAATGGAGGGCGACGGTGAATCCTAGACTGCTGGTTGACGATACGCATAAATAAGACTGTTATTCACGTCAGCAATAACGACACCCGACACGCGTCTCGAAGCCACAGAGGCAAACAATTCAGCAAGTTAGCAGGAGATTAAGGTAATGCAGGGAATTCAAAGGCGTGATCACGAAGAGGGAAAAGATGAGGGCGAGGGGAATATCAGCATTTTCCTCAGATGTATTAGAAAACTACGAAAGAAAACTCTACACAACTAAAGTTACAATATATTAACTGAACATCTTCCATGGTCTCTGTCATTTCTGAAAACGTCAGCAAACACCTCACGACTTATGAACATTCTGAGGTCAAAGGTTGTGAATACCACAAGAGGGGGGCGTTCATATGGACTCGACAAATTGCTTCCTGTATTGAACCAATACGGGACGCAATTTGTCTCATATTTTCGTTCATGTTATGTCCTCAAAGTGCTGTGAATAATGTAATGTCAAGTAAAGCCAAACCAGTTGTAGCCTATCAATTAGCAACAGACTGACGAGCTCTGCGTGCTGTGAAAAAATGCAGCAGACAGCAGTACGGCGCTCTGGTGGTTTACGCGGTACAGTGCATGTCATTAAGGCTTAATCCAAACTGTGGTGGTGTGGGTTCGGGTTCGAGTCTGACCCGTGGCCCTTTGCTGCATGTCATCCTCTCTCCCTGCTTTTCTTCTCTAATACTAATTGTAAATCAGCATCAGGCTACACTTTTTGTTAAAAGAATGTGTATCTGCATTTTAAAATTCTCAAAAAATCTTTTCGTCCCCGGGGGGGTGGGGGTGGGGTCCTATTTTTTCACATAAAAGGTGGCAACCCTATATGCAGCTGAAAGCTCCACCTAATAATGTACACCTTAAGGTTTTCTTTTATCAGTTCTGTAGAAAACAGTTACTGACATTCCGTTATAGTTTTTCAGGTGACATATTGTCTGACTAAGAGGCAAGTGAACAAACTGTCAATACGTTTGCTACTATTAACGTGGGCTCAGTTATCAGACTGCCTGTCTGTCAGCCTGTCAGTCAGCTGTCTTCCTGTCTGTTAGCTGTTAGCTGTAGCTAGCCTCTCAGTGAGCGGTCTTACCTCTGCAGACTCAGGATACTGCCCAGGTTCCTGTACAGAACGATGCCGGTCACAAACGTGGAGGAGTCGTCTGCATCTGCAGCAGGAAGAAACAGAGGAACACACACTGAGCACGAGGTCACATCACATCACACAGGAGCGTTCACAGACACCCAGTGGTTCAGCCTATGTTGGTACAGTGGCCTGCTAAACAAGAGAATACAGGTCAGTCCTGCCGCCCACCCCCCCCCACAGCTCTACACTGGAACTGGCCTACATGACTAGTCAGCTATAAACACACACACACTTGCACAACTGCACAGTTACAACTTCATTCAGACACACACTGACAGTAACACAGGCAGATATCAAAAGTTAAAAGCAAAGCTAACTTGCTTTTTGAACACATTAAACACACACACACACACACACACACACACACACACACACACACACACAGTATTGGTTATCTCTTTTATCTGATATGACAATGTTAATTTCCATAGTATCAGATAGAGGCAGCAGAGACTGAATCTGAGTGAAGAATCAGCGGCTCGGGTGAAAAGTGTGTGAACATCTGCACAGATGTGCTTGTCAAAAAGCAGCTGACACCACTAAAACTACTACATTATTTCTTCACGAGCCTCTAGCGTGGATTTTGATGAACACCATTTCCCATAAGCCCGAGACATTTACTGGCTAGATATCACAGCCCGACAGGACAGACGAGTGAAGACTGTAGAAGTAGACATTACAACTAGAGAGCAGATAAAATTCTGTTTGTGAGTTTTATGGAAATGGATAAGTTATGCTGACTGAAGTACATGAGCTGCTGCACTTGTAGTATTCTCTGTGCTCGTTGTAATCATTGGTTATGGTCGGCAGTTTGTCCAGTAGGTGCTTCCATCATTGTCTGTGAACCCCTTGTGGGTAGATACACAACTCCACCAGTAAAACCAGTAACTACTATCCCAACAACAAAATGACAAAATGCAGATGTATTGAATGGTGATTTCTGAAATTTTTATCCATTAATAGGATAATAAAGAGATTTGATATAACCTCTTAAAATGTTGCTAGACCCACTGGTTCATGGTGTCAGCTGACACTGAGGCTGCCATGGTTACCTGAGTGACACCTGAGCACATGTACATTGACCCAGTTGGGAATCCATCCATTAAAATGCTGATAAGCCAATCACAAAAGACATACAGTATTTACAGTAGGACATCTATTGGCTGACATTGATCTACGCGTGCACGTTGCTGCCGCTCCACAGAGCAGAGACAGATGGGAAGAACTTTGTCAAAACTCGACTGCTGGACTACAAGAAGTCATAGACAAGACTTCACTCCAGCGACAGTGTCAAAAAAAAACAACAAAAAAACATCTCCATCTGCCGGGCCATCTGAAGAAATCCAGCTCTTCTGCTCCAGCACACTGCACGGCCGCCTGAGAGTACACAGCAGTGAGCCAGGCAGCAGCAGAGGCTGTAGCTCCCAGGCAACAGCTGAGCTTCTGTGGGCATCAGGGAGGACTCAAGGAAGACATATGTATGTGTTTGTGTGTGTGTGTGTCTGTGTGTATGGGGTGGGGTGGGGGGGGGTGTAATTATGTATCCCGTTCTCCACTCTTGGGCTGGCCCAACCAACATGCTCAGCCAGATTCAGTCTGCACCCAACAAGAGGAGCCTGTAGGGACTTGAACCAGCGATTAAATAAGTTCTGTGTCTGTGTGAAAACTGCAGTTCAAAGTACAAAGTATCTGCCTCTACACGTTTGTTTGTCTAATGTCTGTGCTGAATATTTACTAGCATATGTTGGAGGGCGAATATTCATGTCGTCACCCACAAGCTTCTTCACTCACATCACCTCAAAAATTAGTTGAGAAGATGACATGAACAGAGATTATGGCTCAGTCTAATTCCTGCTTCTGCCCACACTGTCTACACGTTGAGAGCTCTTGTCATCCGTTAGTGGTGAGAAGAAGTGGAGTAGAAAACCCTTCAACAGTGAGTGTGCTTACCTAATGTTACTCCATCACCCTGAACGGAAGCACATATTCAGAGCGAGGTAAACAGACAAATTTCACTTCCGTCTCACTGCTTTGTCACATATTATTTTGATCATGCTGATGAACCTTTGCTGTATTTTGCTCACACTGCCTTCCTTTTAATAGAGGCTTTCAACAACAACAGAATGTGAGGAAGTTAAAGGATCTGTTGGTGAGATTTTAAACAACAAAACAGCAACAAACAACTATTTTCTATGTAAGGATATCATGGAGTAATGGCGTCCTGAGCAAAGAACAAAGCCACACCCCCTCTGTGTGTGATTGATCTGAGTTTCTCTGTTCTTTGCGCTGGTAGTCGGTCTGGTAGTGCATGTGAGTCCCACCTGTACACAGGCTCTGCCCACAGATGTGTTGTCACAGTGCATTATGCAGCCAGAATTTCCTCCACTGAAGAAGAAACCATGTTTTCATCTAAAAATGCCTCCAAGAAAGAGATGAGACCAGAGCACAGGCGGACTGGACTTAGGACTACCTAAGTTTATGGATGTCAAAACATCCATAAAGTTTTACCAGCTCCATCAGTGTCATTCACGCAGCCTGTCCCAGTGGATCAGTCCAAGGCTGAATTCCTTTCCCAGTCAAAACTGGTCTTTACCCGGATGGAGAACCCCACAAGCTGCTAAAGGGTCCAGCTGGACTCAGAACCGTTTTTTCTCCTCCTCCATGTGTCAGTAACTTGACGGCTATGTGACATAGACCGTAAATAAAGAGGGACATAGCCTCTGTGACATCACACACAGGTTTCTGGTGAGCAGTTTTGAAGCTCAGAGTGAGCCGCTACACCGTAGCCATTTTTGCAGTGTCTGACTCCGCCCCTAACTCCCAGCTAATACATAAATGGACAAAGAGGAGGGGTGTGTGTGCAGCTGAGACTTTGGTTTGTGTCAAGCATACACTAACCATATCCAAAACTTTAGTCCTTAATAAAATGTAATCAGGTGAGTTATATAAACAGTTGTCATGGAAGACGAGATTAGCTCTAAAGACCAAAACTGTTTTTGTACCAGGTTGTAAACATGTTTATTTCTGCTGTAAAGTTGGACATTTTAACATGGGAGTCTATGGGGACTGACTCACTGTTGGAGCCAGACTCTAGTGGTCAGTACAGGAACTGCAGCTTTTGGTTCTTCGGTGTTGATGCTTCATGTTTCAGTGTGGAGGTTGAAGCTTGGTTCATAATGTCTCATGTCTGTTTTCTTTAGTGACCGGCTACAGTAGCCATGCTAACATTAGCTAACTTGCTGTTACTCGTATTATGAATGTGTTCAGCAAATGTTGCTATTACTAGCTGGCTTACTGCCAGCATTGCTGTGGAGCATATCACGGCACTAGGGAGGTGTGGCTGACCAAGTGTTTGTTTTGATCTGAGATGCGGTGGTCTACTTTGACAACCTTTAAAAATAAAAAGTAAGTAAAAAAGTAATTCACTTTACTTGTATCATTACATTCATGCTAAAATATGTTTGTTTTATTTTAAGTGGTATTCTTTGTTATGTACACACATAATAAAACACAACTTCTGGGTTAGCCAGTTGTTTCACAAGCAGTAAAACGCAGCCACAATCAATTAAAAGCATTATTTGACAGCAGCAGATTATATAGTGGCTAATGTTAGTTATGCAGCCACATCAGTTAAATTCAGCTCAGGTTCCTCCATTTCTCTTGATCATCTATGAGATGTTTCTACGTCTTGATTGGAGTCCACCTGTGGTAAACTCATCTGATTGGACATGATGTGGACAGACACACACCTGTCTATACTGTATAAGGTGTCACAGCTGACAATGCAATGCCTGCAGAGGTGCAAGGTGAGAGAATAGTTGTCCAATGTTCATGTGTGGATGGACTGAAGAAGAAGGAATAGTTCACTCACAATGAATAATTCCAACTCTTTGAACCAGTATTGATGTAAATTCTGCATCTGTATTTAGTTTCATCATGATCCCGAATCCCTGAAGTCAAACAGAAACAGAGTTACGTGATAAAGTGCAGATACTACTGCTCCATTCTGAGTGAACTAAATCGGTAAGGGCAGTCTTACATGTCACTGTTTATAACACAGGGCATTCATCCTCTGCTGGGCAAATCTGGAGTATAAATTAAGAGTATACTCCTTTTCTAGGCAGCACTACACCTCTGCACATAGTGATCAAGAAACTTCTAGATCTCTGCTCCTTATGGAAATGAAGGAAAAGCTCTGGAGCTTTGAGATAACACAAAAACATAAAGCTACACAGCTTCTTACTTTGTCTGATTTGTAGTTAATGAGCTAAAACTTGTAAACACACCAGTTCTTTAAGTCAGGGTTAGGATTAATGTTTGATAATTGATAATTATGTTAACCATGTAAACTGTAGTACTGCAGTATAATTGTAGGTGAGTGTTATTGTTCTACATGTTCGCAGACTGCAGAGTGGAGGTAAATCAAATTGTGCCTGCAGCCCCCACCACGGTTTCATTTCATGTTCAGAGAACGCCTCTTTCACTGTTCCTCTGTCGCCTACAGAGAGAACGGCGTCTGTGTTCTTCAGTTTAAGAAAAAAGGCTTCTTTCAGAACATTTCCAGAGATGTGAGAGAGACCAGTCAATCAGCAATAACAAGACATCAGAGAGCCATTTTAATCCGTGTAAGCAGGTCCAAGCTGTATGCATAAAGAGGGCTGGCTGCTGGTGTGACATTAGCACCGTGGAGACACATCTCCCAGCTGGGGAGGAAATTGTTTCTAATTGCTCCTGATTGGCTCCTGTTGACTCCTGATTAGGAGTGACGGCCTCATTAGCATGCGAGCAGCACAGGGCTGTCTTTAATGGTTGAAAACATCCCGGCTGACAAATAACACCACAGCCAGAAAAAAAAACAGTGCACCTAGCACCTGCCTGCAGACGGGAGGGGGGGCTCAGCTGCTGCTGCTCTTTATGTTCACTAATCAATATTGATCATGGATGATGCTGAAAACCTCCAGACAATGTGTTTTTGTTTCCTGACAACACTAAAGAATGGTAACTACAGTAATATAAGCTGAATACAGCACTCTCTTCTTTTATGTAAGATGTTTTTAATCAACAACCATCAGTCCAATACAAATGAATGTGAGTTGAGTTGCTCAGTGAAGATGGTCTGGTAAATGGACACTGTATCGTTGTGTTCAGCATTGATTCATTAATAATTCTCAGAGATTTTATTGATTAATCAATCACTAAAATTTGGTGACACGGTGGAACAGTGTGGGTTCGATCCCCAGGCCTGGGGCCTTTCTGTGTGGAGTTTGCATGTGCCTGTGTGGTTGCTCTCTGGGTACTCCTGCTTCTTAACTGGTGACTCTGAAGTGCTCATAGGTGTGAATGTGAGTGTGCATGGTTGTTTGTCTCTATATGTGTGATAGACTGGTAATCTGTCCAGGGTGTACCCCGCCCTCGCCCAATGTCAGCTGTGATTGGCTCCAGCCCCCCTGCCACCCTACAAGGATAAGCGGTATAGATAATGGATGGATGGGTCAAATATGTGTAAAATAATGAATAATAATGCATGAATGTCTTTACTTTGTCTAATCAGACCAAAGGTACGGTGGCCCTGAGAGGTCAACTCAGTGCAACTTAGGAAAACACATGCAAATAACAACTAAATATACACAACACAGCCAAATACATACAACACAACTAAATACACACAACACAACCAAATACACATAATGTGCTACAAATAAACACAACACAACCAAATACACACAACACACTGCAACTACACACAACACAACCAAATACACACAACACAACACAATACACACATCTAAATACACACAATACAACCAAATACACACAATGCAACTATATACACACAACACAACCAAATACACACAACACAACCAAATACACACTATATAACCAAATACACACATTTAAATACACACAACACAACCAAATACACAGTGCAAATAGCACAGACGACAACAGTGATGAACCTTGCATTGGGTTCATGACTTCCCTGGAAAAACTTCTGTTGTGTTTTGAGTATTTGCAGCTCATGTGTTGTCAAACTGATGAAGATGTTTTCTGAATATGTTTGTATTTCGTCTGTTTGCATGTGTTTTCTTAAGCTGCAGTTTATTGAGCTCTGAGGGCCACTGAACAAAGGTGCTCAATTAACACCGAGTTAAAATGGAGGAAAGCAGCTAATCCTCACATTTAAACCCTCACACATACATTACAGTTCTTTCTTGCTTTAAGACCAGAGTTCTATAATTCCCTTTATCTGTAAACAGCCAATGAGGAGCCTGTGTTAACGCTCCCGTTTACAATTAAAGCCAATCAAATAGTAAAGGCAGAAGGGCTTTGTATTAACATTTTATGAAACTTGTTCTGGCCTTATTGAAGAGAACAAGTCCTTTTGTTGTGCAGCTGCTGAACAGCAGGAGACATAAAATGATTTCATTATTCTCCTGCAATGTTTTATTTGCAACATTAAATACAGCCATGTGTCTGTCTGAGCGGGGGGCCTTGCTCTGCAGACTATATATATCTGTATCTGTATACACTATATATATATATATATATATATATATATATATATATATATATATATATATATATATATATATATATATATATATATATATATATATATATATATATATATATATATATATATATATATATATATATATATATATATATATATATATATATATATACATATAGAGAGAGAGCGAGAGAGAGACAGAGATCACTCAAACACACTTTATAAATCACCCTGTCAAAGATACACACATTTCATACCCACACAATAACCTGTTGTCAGTCTTACACTTCCTGCCTGTGGTACTTGTACATGAGGTGTCTCAGTGGGTGGGGGATGGGCTGCAGGTGTGAGATGTGTCACAGGTGTGTCTCACCTGGCTTGCCAGTGGACAGGATGTTTTTGGGGATGGTGACTTTGTCCTCAGAGCTGCGGGCCCAGTCCGCCATGCCCCTCCAGCCCTTCATAGGGAAGCTGATGTCTGCGTGACCCACCACTGGACGCTTGTGGATGCTCAACACTGCAACAGAACAATGACAGGTTACACTAATATTACCACATGCCCAACATCTATACATCTGCCATCAACCAATCACGTGGCAGCATTAAAACCACACTGATACAGGTCAGGAGCTTCAGATAATGTTCACGTCATCAGAGTGTGGTGTGGTGTTGGTTTGAGTATTTCTAAAGGCAGCAGTGGACACAGACTCACCAACACTGGGCAGGTGAAGACCAGGGGTCAGTTGCACAAAACACCTTACGTTTTCTAATTAAGTGTGACACTTAAGGTTTAATTTCTCCTTAGCTGAGGGAGTTACTTAAGGCTGTTGCACAGAATATCTTAAAAGGTTTCCTTAGTTAAGGAAAAAAGGTTTTAAGGGTGTCTCCCGGGTGCGGCACACTCTTCTTGGGATGTGTTCATTTCCTTCATTTATCCCCACAAACAGCATGTTGCAGTTAAGACAGAATCAGACGTACCTTTTTTCCCTTACTTTGGTCACTAAGGTCTTTTGTGCAACGGTTTAACTGACTTTAAGTGATTCTTTAAGTATAAGACTAAGATAAGGTCTGATGGATCTGGACTCGTGCCGAGGCAGCAGATGGTCGGGTGGAGTTGTGATGGTGTGGGGAATGTTTTCTTCTTCACACCAATCAATCATGGTCTGAATATCACAGTCGATCTGAGTTTTGTTCTGACCATGTTCATCCCTTCATGGAAGAGTTCACCATCTTCTAATGGCTCCTTTAGACTTTGAATTAAATTTGACTTCACACATAAAGGAAGAGACCAAAACAGCTTTTATCATTTAATGTACTGACAAAGTATGACCATTATCTATAAAGATGGTGAAAAACGTATTAATGCTTTTATTTCAAACAGAGCAGATCATTGCAGTGATAGTTGTACTGTTCTTCTGAAGCAGTCAATGGAAAGACTTTTATTCGGACAGTGTATTCAGACCCGTGCTGCTGCAATTTAACTAAAACAAAGAAGCGTGAGCTTCACTCCACTGGCTCCCAGTGTCTTCTAGAAGAGATTTTAAGTTCTTTTTATCTGTTTTTAAATCTCTAAATGGTTTGGGACCTTCACTGCAGATTCTCTGTGGTATTATAATCCTTCACCAGCTCTCAGATCTTCATCTGCCTGGCCTAACACACAATTTTACGAAAAAGAAAACAGGCAGTTTAGCTTTTTTTTAAAACTATGATCCAACTCCATGTAATAACCTGCCAAGAGCTGTAAGAGATGCTCTGAACATTTTTAAACAACAGCTGAAAACCTGTTTATTTAAATTGGCTTTTGACTCATTCGCTCACATTTTACTATTATTACTGGTTTCTATTTTCATTTACATATTTCATCATCTGCTCTCTTTCTATTGTCGATTTTCATTATCGTTCCACCCGCCCTTATGTTATTGTACTGTTTGATTTTTTTTATTGCAAAGCATTTTGAGCTGCATGTCTTATGTACATACGAAAAGTGCTCTATTGTTGGTGGTTTATAATCAATATATATGTGTCCAAACGAAAGCCTCATGAATCTACATATCACCTATATATCATATCCTGTGAAGCTATATGTGTTTTGTTTAGTTTTATGACTTATGAGTGTACGGTTGTGTAATTATAAAGTTTATTATTAGTATTATTATTATTACTTCCAGCAGGATAATGCTACATGTCACAGAGCTAAAGCTGTCTGAGTTTACTGAACGTCAGTGCACTACAAAATATGTTTTATATAGAAGAAATAAAAGCAGTGTAGTGTGTGTGCCTGTTGTAATGTCAGCATGGTTGAATAAACCTGCTGGGCCCCTATTAACCCCTCTCTCCTTCCACTTCCACCTCAAAAACACAAGCACACTAAAGGTTTTAAAGCTGGATTCTGACACGAGGACCCTCTTTAACACAGGTGCACAAACTCCGCTCTCAGCACGTCCGTTAATGTTGTGCTTGAGGAGCTCAAACCTCCAAAGAAAGCTTCTATTACATTTTCACAAGCTAATAAACAATCAGCGCGGAGCTTTGGGCAGGTGTCAAGATAACCGGGTGGGTAATCCAGATCTGAATGTTACATAAAATTGACATGGATCAGTTCACCTTTAAAAGCTTGAAAGAGAAGTAAAAAAGATCATTGTATCGACTCTAATCTGTCTCCTGGGAGAATGGATGAATAATACATTTAGATAGAAATAACCACTCTGCAGCTGAACTTCATGTGTCTTTGTGTGAATTCTATACTACTTGACTACTTTGATGAGTTTGGAGGAAGAAACTCTGATCTAACTATATGTTGGCAGATGAGGGAGCATTCCTGTGTGTGGCTTTGCTTATGTTTGAGGTGTGGGAGGAGAGAGGAGGTCAGCCACCCCAAGGGGGGGTACGCTGCCAGTGTGGGCGGCTATTTGGCTCCAGACAGCGCGGTGGCACCGCTATAAACAGGACCTCTCATCTAGCCTCAATTCCCACATACTCTCCCTTGACTCGACTCAAACTCTGCCTGGTTTTTATCTGGAGGTCACAGGCATCAGCGGAGCCTCTCTGATGACTACACTGCTTCATTTTACCCTGGTTGAGGAAAACAGAGCGTTTACAGCTGCCGGGCTCAGGAAGTAGGCAGCAGGTGGTTTGTGAATGTGGATTTAGAATCACATGAGACGCATCTAAAGACCTGCTACCCTGGAGAGGATTCATATTTACCATGGCCCACTCTCTTCATGTAAATACTGGGGAGCAGAAACAGAGACGTTCATCATTAGTTAAAGGACGGCCATCAGTTTACAACCTCCAAGGAGCCGATATATTTCGCAAAAGCCTCCTCTGATCCCAGACCAGCTCCAGTTTGACTTGACACATGTGCAGGGATCATATAGAGATAAATACAGCAGTCACACTAGCAATACTAGGCAGCACCATCTTTCAAAGGCTTCACTGTATTTCTCTACAGTCTCTTTCAGACTGGGGATCTGGGAGGGTCACTATTAGTGAGACTACGACTAGATTTCTTCAGGATTATTTCCCATCATGCTCCTGGTGGACATTTTCGCTCTTTGAAATCCATCATTATCATTATTTTCATTATTCATATTATTATCAAACCAGAGCTGTACCCATTTCTAGGTAATTGTATCGTATTGTTTATTGTTTTTGTTTGATTGTGTGTAGCTTGTTGTGTAATGTGTGTGTGTGTTGTGTATGTGTGTTAATAATATTCAACATGTATGATTTTAACGGATCGTCCAGACGGAAACAGAAGCTCAGACCTGACACCAAACCATCGAGATGACGGGAGCAAAACTTTGATGATTTGTTTCTGACTGTGGAAATGAGTCTGTGACGGTTTGGTGTCAGGCTGGGACACATGACTCCTGCTGGATGTAACATTGGTTTCCCCCCCCCCCCCATGTATTATGAAGATCAATCTTCAGAGGAAGATAACAGAGTCTTTTTGATAAGCAGAAATGTCTGTGGAGATCTCCAGGATGGAGATAAGACTGACCTAGGTTATCAGTGGCTTCATACGTGTCTTGAAAGTCTTTCATCCTCAGGCCGATGACATCCACAAAGTCCTCGACCAGACGGAACAGCTCTTTGATGTTCGGCCCCAGCTGAGAACACAACACAGACACATGAAAGAAAGACACAGAGGAAGGATTATGGATCTGAGGTGAATATTCTGAGCAGCCGTAGAAACACTTGACGCACACAAAGTCTTTCACACAGAAACACTGTCACACCATCCTGTGATGGTTTAATGCTGCCAGCTCTTTGAGCATCATTCCTCTTCAGTTTGAGGGCAGGAGTACACGTGATGTCCTCTACAGGTTCTCTGTCGTTTTAAATGGAGATAAATGATGAAACTCAGGGATGACAGAAAAAATAAATAAAAAAATCAGTGTAAAATGTGATGTGACCTTGAACACATATCAGATACTGCCTGTCCTGTTTACAGTGCTGCTTTCCATGTCCCATTAAATGCATTTCATAATATGTGAAGGGGGGTGTTCAAGATAAAACGGTGTGAAATTGTTCTTTAATGTTTTCAAAGTGTTTTAGATTTACCTTTGCAGAAAAGCATCATGTCTGCTTTTAGTTTCTTCATCATTTCTGTATTATCATTATCATTATTATTATTATTACCCCCACATCATGAAACTGTAACTGTGACAACCGTATTTGCTCGAGTTAAAGATTTCATCTCCCTGCACTGTGGATTTATCAAGAACAATTTTATGTGGCACAATATAAGAGAAAAGCCTGATGACGACATTTTAAATCTGGGCCTTAAAATCATCATTTCACTTTATAATGTGCGTATTAGTATTAGAGTACTAACAAACAAATGTGAAATTCATTAAATTACAACAGAAGCAGGAGTCCCCACACCCCACACCCCACACACCCCACACACCCCCGTGGCTCTGGGCCCTCAGAGGCAGATTCACCTGGCTGGTGATCCATCTGTGGCTCTAACAGATCTCCAGACTGAAGGTTTGGCACTTTGATAAAACACCTTTCATTTTCAAACTTAACATTAAAAGCAGACATGGTGTCCACCGTGATAAATTCCCCAACCCAACTTTCAAGTCACCGCAACTTACTATTGATTTTACCTTCCAGAAATAAAGGACACCTCTGGCTGCTGGAGCTGGGACACATTTAATAAATAAAACACTACACAGTGATGTGAAGTCTGTCTTTAATCACACTGACTTCAGCTGAAGAGATGCCAAAGGTTAATAACAATAATAATCATTTTAATAATAATTCACTTTGGTTTATTTGACTCTGAGGCCTGCAGGCTGAGAGTGATATGAACGGCTGAATGGATGTAAAGACGGAGTAGCATGAGAGGATGAGTGCAGCAGATGGATGAGTGGGCGTGTGCGTCGACTTGGTTGCTCATTAGCTACAGCTATTTCTGTCCTTCAGCAGCTCTCCGCCCCGTCTACCTCTGTCGGTCTGAAAAGACGCAGGTGGGCTGTTTGTCCACCTGCGTCTTTGTCGCAGTGTCGAACTCATCGCTTCTGCAGCTGCCAGCATCTTTACTGTTATTATTATTGAGCTCCGAGTTCAACAAAAGATGTAATTATAGTTCAGGTGAGGGTGCGAGTCCTGTTTAAGAAAGATGGTGTGATACTAACCAGTTGTGCCTCCTCCCATCTCTCCCTGTTCTCCTCCATCAGCAGGTTGCTGACTGACAGCACAAAGTTCTGCAGGACGAAGAGAAAATGTTTGACATCATCAGCGTCACAGGTCCTCTGGTATTCACAGCAGCAGTCCACAATCTTTTCTGCACCATGGACCGGTTTCAGAAAGACACATTTCTCACAGACATAACAGTTCACTATTATGTTAACCAGCGCCATGTTATCGGACAAAACAGATGTAAATATCTCTTTTCTCTTTGTTGTTTGTTGAACAGGTTGTTCAATAAAGTTCTTATTGGCCTTTTACTTTTTATTGCACTTACAGTAAAGTTCAGTGACATCTGTCTCGTCAACTCCAATCATGGCAACTGTAAATTATCAGGCAGTTGTTGTATTTTACCGATTTAAAAAAAAAATGCAGCCTAATAGCAAATACGCTGCGGCTCAGAGCCGATCCACAGCTCTGTGGTCGGGGAAGTCTGATTTACAGAATAAGGCTGTAACAATCCGTCTTCTTCTTCTGTTATGAGTCTTGAAAAAAAGAACATCCCACACACTACTCACAAGTATTTTTTGAAATACTTCTGACGAAGGTCTGAGACTGAAAGGTTAGGATGATCAATAAACTGTGATGCTGAGCAGAGAGCAGAGTGTGGGCTGACACTTTCCAACACACCTGAGACATTTGGATGTGCGAATATCTTCATTGAGAAAATCTTCTTGTTATATGAAAGGTAGATTCAGACAGCCAGGGTTTCATACATCACAAACCTCAGGAACCAATCCTGTCAACTTGTGGGGATGGGGGTGGGGCTAGATAAACCTGAAACCTTGTCAGTACAGAGAGCATTAGCATTAGCACAACCGCTAACACTGTGTCAGCCACTGCCAGTTACAAGCTAACAAACAACATAAACAAATAAAAGATGCTAACTACGCTAACCTCTCTGATCTGTCTGCTAGTCTCTGGTTCTGGTCTCAGACTCCTCCTCTGAGTCTGGGTCTGACTGAGGCTCAAACATGTGGCTGAGTCTCTCTGATGTTTCCTCCTCTAACCATCTTGATACTCTCTGCTCCTTCACCTGTCCACCTGGAGCAAGCAGGTGGAGGGCGGGGCACAATCAGGAAGTAAGAGGAGATGAAACTATGTTAAACTGAATATTAATCACAGCAGAGGATTTTTTTAAACATATCTGTAGGAACTTGAAAGATAATTTGTGCATCAGCTCAGACTTGGACTCGGATTTCAACACTGGGGACTCGAGATTCAACTCGGACTCCAGTTTTAGTGACTGGACTACAACACTGGTATCCAAAGCTTGATATAAATGATTAAAACCCCATCAGTGAGCCACACTGCTGCACTGGGTGAACTTCTCCTTTACGACCATGAACGTAGACTTTGGTTTATTTGGTCCCATATACACCCCTCATTACAGCACCAACTGTGTTCATCCACAACTGAAAATAGTCCCCAACAAATGCAGTGTTTCCTCCTGTTTGAGTAACATCTCCTAAAAACTACAGCACCAAGATTGACACGGATATTTACCATTCAGAGTAGGTGTAATCAAAGATGCTATCAAATTGCAATATGGGAAATGTAGGATCCATGTGCACAAGACAAACAAAACCTTTAACAGTAAAAAAAAAAAGTACAGACTAGCATCAGACTCATGCCGTCGTATGTTTTCTTGTCCATCATAAGTTCAGACCAACACCTGAACTTTGATATTTTGTGCTTCTGAGCTAAATTTGATCAACTCTTGCTGTAAAATAAGATCACGTATCAGAGTCTTTACCTTCACTGTAGAAAAACCCTCAAACAGCATGAAAATCCATCAATCAGTTCACCTTCATGTCTACACTGCTGGGGCTGTAGTACGCCCTCCTGAAGATCTCCGTCATGTTCTTCAGTACATCCAGGATGGCCAGCAGGTCACCGCTGTAGCTGGTCCCGTCGCTGGACGTGTCCTTCAGCTTGGTCATCACCTCTGAAACACCATCTCCCACAAGGCCGCGCTGCGCTTTGGACAAATGTTCCCGAGTCTAACAGGGGCAGACAAGTGGTTCCTCTTAGCTTAGAACATCTGTTCATGGCAGCAGCTCCTTTTTTTTCATTACCTGCTTGTTTCACTGAGGTCTGCAGGTGAAACTGTATCTTGTACAATAATATTAAATCTGTGCCTTGACACAACATTTGAAAAGACACAATCAATTATTTTTCTATTTTACATTTAACCAAAACCATCTTTTTCTAACCTTAACGTTAACTGAAACACATTTGTTGCCTGGACTCTGTACGCAAACCCCAGACTCTGGTGCGCTTGGTACGCCCACCTTCCACCCCACCGACCTCCTGGTGACTCCACCACCTTTAATAAATGTAGTAACTAGAATGGTTGTTTCCTCCTCCAGCCAGACAAGTTAAAGTAAATATGCTCACAGTCTCTCCTTTCTGAGTGACAGTGTTGAATACTGGCCAGTAGTGTTTTTACAAAACATTATGATGTCACAGTGAAGATGACCTTTGACCTTTTGGATATAAAATGTCGTCACTTAATTTTGTCCTTATGCACATTTGAGTTAAATTGGGTCATAATCAAAGAATGACTTTGTGAGTTATGGCCAAAAATCTGTTTTGTGAGGTCACCGTGACCTTGACCTTTGAACTTTGGCCACCAAAATCTAATCAGTTCATCTTTGAGTCCAAATCAATGTTTGTGCCAAATTTGAAGATATTCACTCACAGTGTTTCTGAGATATCAAATTCACGAGGATGTGACACACATACGATGGACAACCAGAGATCATCACATTCCAGAGGCCAAAACCGTATTTTACAAAGTCAAAAATATGCTGCGGCTCAGAGCCGATCCACAGCTCTGTGGTTGGGGAACTCTGATTTACAGAATAAGGCTGTAACAATCCGTCTTCTTCTTCTGTTATCAGTTTTGAAAAAAAAAAACATCCCACACACTCACAAGTATTTTTTAAAATACTTCTGACGAAGGTCTGAGACTGAAAGGTTAGGATGATCAATAAACTGTGATGCTGAGCAGAGAGCAGAGTGTGGGCTGACACTTTCCAACACACCTGAGGCCAAAACCATGTTTCACAAAGTCGCACTGACCTTGACCTTTGACCTTTGACCACCACATTCTAATCAGTTCATCCTTGAGTCCAAATGAATGTTTGTGCCAAATTCTAAGAAGTTCCCTCAAGTTGTTACTGAGATATCACATTCACGAGAATGAGACAGACATATGACGGACAACCAGAGATCATAATAATTATAATAATGATAATAATAATTCTACATTTATTTATAATAATCCAGTGGTTCCATCAGCTTGTGCTGTTGCAGCTCAGTTGTACAGAAAGTTCAGGGTTGTACCAGGAGAAAAAGCTCTTGATCCTCACCAAAGTCTGGATGCTGCGATAGTCGTTGGAAATGCATTTCATGTAGGTGGGATTCTCCCAGTAGGCGATGCCCTCTTCATCCAGGGTGCAGCGGCGCAGGATCAGCCCTGTGTGGAGACACATGCGGTAAGGGCTTAGTATCAGCAAAGTGTGAGTCCAGTCTTGTGCATGGTAAAGTTTATGTATAAACGTGGTGTGAGCTCACCCATGGCATTGGGGGGACAGCGTACGGCCGCCGTGTCCCCAGCTGGAGTCATCTTCCACACAACGTTGGAGAAGTTGTCCTCGCCACATATTTCATGAGGCTCTGTGAACAGAGGAGTGTCACTGTGCTGTAGCATGTAAACCACTGTCACAGCAGGGTCAACACCCTTTCTGAAGCAGCATAGTTTTCTGTCCCTGATGTCATTTTACAGACACAGTGACCTGTTTCCACACACTGACCTGGACATCTCTTTTCATTACATCGCCGGACCTCCTCTCGCTCTCCAGGGCAAGGCTGCCCCCCAAAAAAGGGCCCATAACAAATCCTGTTTCTCTGCTGGCTCCCCCCTCCGCAGGTTTTAGAGCAGCCCGACCACAAAGACCATGGCTGCCACTTACCATCCACTGAAAACACACACATTCATACACACACACACCACATCAGTGTTTTATATTCTGTCCATTCAATACAAATAAACACAAAAACACAATACAAATCACGTCTACTTTACATGACTGCAGATCATTTTTCAAACACGCTGCGCTGTTTTGGATTTTGTGAAAATGCCGTCGGTTTCTATTTATTTCCCCAGAGCATTAAAATAAATTGCAGAGTTGGAATTTGTTTAACGCACTTCATTGATAATTCATAGCATTGTGAAATTAATGGAAAGCGGTGGCAGTCTGGAAGGCAGGAAACACATTCATTAATTTAAATCACCATGAAAACACTAGTAAGTAAAATACGAGTAATGTAATAAAGTCTGTGCCAGCTGTAGTGAACGTGGAGTTGTGGTGACCTGAGACAGGGGGAGACGAAGAAGAAGAGTGGGGACACAGGAGAGCCGTTTAGCCACAATATTAACTAGTGGAAAGTTACACCTGAATCTTTACCACCATCAGGGACAAGCAGCAGCTCTGCAGGTCGGGGTTTTATCTGACATATAAAGGTCACTATCAGCTAGATCATCAGCATCATGAACAGCATTTGATTACTGTCACCTATACCTCTGTGTTAAACGTTTTAGGCGCTTCAGGGTTCACTAAACAATAGACCCGCATCTGCAATTGTTGCTTCTCTTATTCCTAGACACCTGCAGGGTTTAACAAGGTCCTACACCAGAGGTCTGTACTGCAAAGCCGGATGTGGCAGGCAACAGCTAACAAGCAGGTAACTTCAGGTTTAACGACGGCGGTTCACTTGTTACCTGGGTAAATCACCATGGTAACTGATGCACAACTCATAACTTGCTCCGGATCAGGTCAAAACACAAAATTGAGCTTCTAACAAACACTAAATAACTAGTTTCATTTGAACTGATTACAGATTCTTTAATGTCAGTGATGAAGCTTTTACTCTCTCCTTCATCACTGCACCTCAGAACATGAGAAGAAATAAAAACTAAACCTCTGATGTCTTTGATTAGATACCTGTAGACATCAGTGTTTCTCCTCATATCATAGTAATACTTTATTCACAGTTCTGACGATGTTTATAATTAAAAACTCCCAAAGTTCTCTCAAGATGCTTTGCACAATCTACCTGTCAAGTACCTTCCACAACTGAAGAACTGGTTACGCCAAATATGTCACGTTTGAAGGACCCAAATGCAGACAACACAAAAAGAGGGTTGGTGGGAAAAAAAGGTCTTTAAACAATAAAAAAGTGAGTCACACACTGGTGAAGCAGAACTCAGCAAAACACAGGAACAGAAACCCTAAGAGGCACGAGGGAAGCTCAACAGGAGCACAGCAGGAGAACTGATGAGGACTGAGAGAAAGACACAGAGATGATTGGACACAAGTGAAACACAGTAGGGTGGGGCATGAATGAATGCGGGGGTTATATTCCTGTAATGATCTCCACCCCGTATCTTAGCAGCTTTGTAACACTGTACATACTGTGACTTTGTTTCATGTTATTAGATATGCATGGTACGAAAACAAAATATTGAGCTGTAATTTTTTGCAGATCCAGATTGCTTCGCTTTGCCTGGTTAGATCAACTTCATTACACCACAAACACAGCTCCTGGTTTTCCTTGTCATACCTGGACACTCGCCGAGGAAGCAGTCGACGGTCTCCAGCCACTCCCCCCTGCACTCGGAGCCTCCGTACGAGGGGCCGTTACACTCCCTGGTTCTCTGCATGGTCCCATTAGAGCAGGAGGCCGAGCAGGAGCTCCAGCTGGACCACTCGTTCCACACCCCGTCCACTGAGGACAGCAGGGGTCAACAACAAGCAGGGACACAGCACAGAACGGAAGGTGTGTCAGTTAGTGCGGTGGATTATGGGTAATATACTAATACAAAGACATTCATGAATAATAAATGTGGATGATCGAATCAAATCTTCTCATGTTACTTGTGTTTCTGTAATAAATCAGTGACTATGACGTCATCAGACACATGAGGACGTACATTACAAAACACTCTAACATACTGTAAATGTATAAGCTTCAAGGGTCATTGTTCTTCAAACAGACCAGATGATACGAAAGTGTTTATAGCAGAAAACCACACTCAACGTTATACAGGTACATCACTGAGTGAGACACAGTCACAGGTGTGTTTATTCTACACAGACAGGTTTTATTGTGTTTGTCAGCAGGTAACGTCCTGCACAGGAGCACTGTGCAGCGGGGGGGGGGACGGGGCTAACGTGTTGGACTAACTGTTAAACTATTAGACTAACTGTTAAGCGAACTGTTCAACTAGTAACTGAAACAGTTGGTGAGTGGCAGTGATTGGAAACATGTCAGATCCATCCGAACATGTTGGAGCCTGGATCTGATCAGTGTGGACAACACCACCATCAGCAGAGACAAACATGTTGACGTCTCTGTTAGGCTTGGGCCAATATTCAATAATATCGAATATCACTAATATTGCAATTTTTCCTGCCATATGCAATATTTTACATGATATCTGATTTTTTTTCATTAGAGAGACATAGATGTGTCTGTGTGGAGCTGGCTGCACAGCCATCATGGTCTCCTAACCATCTGACTACTTCCTGTTGGGTCGCACAGCTCCACCCACACACTTACTGTTCATGTGCTGGTATCTTTGTCACAGTTTGAACACTGAGGCAGCAGTGGACTGTCACTGACTTACTTTACATGAGCAACAAAGTTAGAAAACGCAAAGTTCTGGTTGAAAAGCTCAGAGAGAAGAAAAATCCAGAACAATCCAAAATGAGTGGGTTCAAGACCACAGCTCTCCCAGTACAGCTCCCAGTACAGTTCCCAGTATAAACCCCAGTCAAGTTTTACATTATAAACAGTAGGCAAAAAACAACAGGAAGTGTGTCTGATTTTATTTAGCAGGATAATGTTGTATAGCTTTGTTTCCTGCTCTGGCGTCACCTCAGCTCAGATCTATAGGATTGTATCACAGAAACATCCAGTGAAGAGAAGAAGAAACTACTACAACAGGTCTGCTGCTGCATTTACTGCTGCACTGTCCAGTCTGACCTCTGACCTCTCTCTGAGCTAACCTGTAGTTACACAGTTATATGGATGTTTTTCAGACTGGAGCTTCTTGGTTATTGTTGTTATTGTAGTTGTGGATTGTAACATGAAAATCACTGATACAGTTTTTCAATTGAATCTGCAATTGAAATGTGTAAATAAAACATAAAGCCCTGCGTTCATATGGTTCCACTTTATAAATCGCACTCATTGTGAACGAGCCTCGTTTCCACTCCCACAATTATTCATAAATGGATGAAGACCTTAATCAACCAGTTTGTCTAAAAACACTGTCTGTGCCACGAGTGATCAGACACAGAGAAGAAAGACGAGGAGGAAGAACAGTTTCGCTGACTGTGAAACTGAAGTAAAAATATCATCAGTTTACTTTAGTACAATCACTCTAATGTAAAGTCCTGTTTTACTCTGAGCTTCATTAATTGGGACTATAGAGTCTTAATGAGGCTCCACACAGGCTCTAACACTGTGATTGGTCAATATTAAATAGAATCAAACAGTTTACACAAGAACTTACAATAAATAATAAGGACATTAAACATAAACACAATTATTTCTTTTTTATGAAATGTAAAACTTATAATGATGAAAATGAATGAAGCTTCATGAAGTTGGTTACTTTATTTTATGGTAAATTACATGTCTTGGTTTCATTTACTTTTAAATGTTTTATGTGTGTGTGTGTGTGTGTGTGTGTGTGTGTGTGTGTGTGTGTGTGTGCATATATATATGTATATGTATATACAGTATACATTATTTTGAATCTTGTCTATAACCACTTCAACCTATATATATATCTCAATATTTAAAGTTATATTTAAGTTTTATTTCAAATTTTACCATGACCTTTTTGTAATATTGGGGTAATGATCGTTTGAATGTTCTGTTTAGTTTGTAAATTTAAAATGAACAATAAACAAACGTGTCTCTTTTATTTTGTATTGTCACTTCGCAGTAACTTGGATCACTTTGTGAAACTGTGTGTTCACATGGTCAAAGGAATGTGTGGGGTGAAACATTCTGCGTTTATAAATACTAATATATGAGCGGGAGATAGCGTCACATTGGTTTTTGTGTGTACGCATCATTTACACACCTGGTCCCAGGTGTGATTGTCAGAACACCACCAGTACAAAGAGAAGCTGTTATTGGATCTGTTGAAGCACACTGACTCCGTTGCTGCTTGTTACTGTACATGCTCTGACTGACTGTGAATCTTGATGCTCGGTGTGTTCCTCACCTGGACACACAGCTATGTTGCAGAACTTGGTCTGTTTCTCTGGGCCGTCACAGGGATCTCCCCCGAACTGAGGGGGGGTGCAGGTTCGCGTTCGGGACCTGTAACCTCGGCCGCAGGTGGACGAACACAAACTCCACGGCGACCACTCATCCCACGCACCGTGCACTGCAATCAAAGCAGCTAGGGTGTGATTTATAGACAGACCTGAACACACTGAACAACACACTCAGTATCAGTTCCTCTGCTGTTTGGATTGACCCTCTGTTCTGTGGTGATACTGTTCCCTAAGCTGAGGAGTCTCCCTTCCTGTCTGGGTGTAGCAGAGCCTGAAGTCATCATGAAGTCTCTGTCATTATAGTGGGGGTGACTCTAACTGCAGGCAGAGCCTTTCCTGGAGGGTGGGGGTAGAAATCATCACCATGGGCCTGAGGAAGGGAGTCAGGTGGGTCTTGTCTGGGTGAGGTAGGGGTCCAGGAGAGGGCTGAGCGAGCGCATGGTGGTGGCACTACAGAGGGACTGGGGGGGGGGGGCTTACCTGGACAAACAGCAGAGTTGTTGCAAGGTCTCTGCTCTCGCAGTGGCCCACTACACTGGGTGCTGTAGGAGGAGGACACACAGAAGCGAGTGCGACTCTGCCAGCCCTCCCCACACGTGGCAGAACACACACTCCACGCTGACCACTCCTCACCTGAAGCTGAGTCTACTGGGGAGGAAGGGGTGGGAAAGGATGGGTGGACAGGGGGGAGAAAGAGGAGGAAAAGGAAAGGAGAGGGCCATAACTAATTACCATGCAGGATGCAGCCTCTGTGGCCAAAACAGGAGGGGTTGTGGTGTGATAAAGGAAGGATTTGAGCTGTGCCACATTTTAGGGGCTGCCTCCTTCAGAGGCCTAATATTTCCTGACAGGTAGATGACGCTGTCTCATTCACAGGCTGGCTGATTAATGAACGTGGCTGATTAATGAGGCCTTCTTTTGCAGACATAACTCATGCTCCTTGATGGTTTTCAGTTTTTCAAACCATTGTTAAAGCCTCACAGTCCCAGCCCTTTAATGTTCTGTCCAACGTCACACTCCTTCACCGTCCTTCAAAGGCGGCGGCCCCTGAAATGGACCCCAGCTTCTGTTCTCCATCTGTGGGGCTCTGATGCCATATCCTCTACATTGACTTCCAGGGGAAGTGAATGCCACTGGCTTAGGATATGTCAGTCATGACTACCAAGTAAATTGACCAATCAGGGAACAAAGGCAGTCGGAAGAAAAAAGGCAGAAAACTAAAGAGGAGGTGAGGAATTGATTAGCAAATCAAAGCGATACTTCACCCAAAGTCTTTCTTTGTCGTATCAAACCTTCATCCCCTGTCGACTTGAAACTGACACAAATTCAAGCTGATCGCAGCCTCGTAACCACGTGTTTCTCATTACCTTATAACGAAAGAGTTCAACATTTTGGACAATACACGTATTGTCTCTCCAAGAGTGAGATGAGCAGATCAATGCCACTCTTCTGTTTGTGCATTTAGTACGGAGCTGCAGCCAGGCGGTGATTAGCCTAGCTAGCTCAGCATTACAGGAGGAAACATGTCTCCTGGCTTTCTTCAAGTTAAAACATTGCACCTCCCTACATGTATCTTATTTTTTTAATCTGTACTTAGAAAAAAAAGTAAATACCACAATTTGTAGTTTGTGGGGGAGTTACGTGTTGCATCCAAGTTTCAACCGCCAGACTGAAACATGAAGCCCTAACACTAAAGAACCAAAACCTGCTGTTCCTCTAATGACCACTAGAGTCTGGCTCCAACAGTGAGTCAATCCCCATAGAATCCCATGTTAAAATGTCCAACTTTACAGCAGAAATAAACATGTTTACAGCCTGGTACAAAAACAGTTTTGGTCTCCAGAACTAATTTCCTCCTTCATGACAACTGTTTATATAACTCACCAGTTTACATTTTATTAAGGACTAAAGTTATGGAGAATTGAGGGCGTGGCCTCTTTGAGTGACAGGTGGGCGAGTGTATACACCAAAGTCTCTGCCCCACACACACGCCTCCTCTTTGAATATTTTTGGATTAGTTGGTAGTTAGGGGAGGAGTCATACACTGCCAAGATGGCGGCAGTAAAGCAGCTCACTCTGAGCTCCAGAAGCCTGTGGGTGACATCAGAGAGGCGACGTCCATCTTTATTTACAGTCTACTATTTGTTGGTGCAGTGACTCTCTGGATCTTGTTCTCTCCGTGAGGTTGTCATGTTCATCATCCTCTGATAAAACTATATTTAGCAGCAGAGGTCAGGAGAAGTCTAAGGCTCATTGTTTCAGATACGACATGTTCATCACTGAGCTTTAGACATATTGGTAGATGTATGTTTGGACAGAGCCAGGTTAGCTGTTTCTCCCTACTTCTAGTCATTACTACTAAGCTAGGCTAATCTAGCTCCATACTTATCACACAGACATAAGACTGGTATCTTACTCTTGGAAAAACAAAGCCTTGAATAATTGTTGAACGTGTTTCTGTGGGCCTGCAGAGGGTTGAGGGTCTGCTACCACTGATTCTGGGTGGAGTATCTGTTTAACAGAGAGGGAGGACTCCGTCTGATTGAGTGTTTTACCAACAGGGCTCAGTGTCCTGTTATGACCTCACATAAAAATACAATTCCACTATGTTCAGTCAGGGTCCATGTTGGAATCAGTCCACTGTGGACGAGGCACTACTTTGGGAGATTTTGATAGATGTGTGTGTTTTAAAGGTGAGTGCTGTGTCTCTGTTTGTGCGTGTGTGGTGGTCACCCAAGCTGCTACTGTGACTGATGCATGGGATCCCTCTGCGTCCTGTTGTCTTACCTGTCTGAGGGCTCTGCTGTCCGCTGCGGGGCTTGTCTACGTCATCACGCTTGCGGCTGTCCACCGAGCGAAGCGATTGGCTGCGAGAGAGATGGCGACCTTTGCCTAAAGGGGGGGTGAGGCAAGGTCGGAGGGGGTGGGGGGAGTGGGGTTTGGGGTTAGCAACCAGAGCTCCTTCATTAATGGCTTATATTTGGGACACAACCGTGACGTGATTGGTCACCCAAAACAGCATCAGCCAAACTTGGGACTTCTGTGGTGCTGTCGGTGTGTGATGTGCTGTAAATATGGTTCTTATTGGGTGTTTTGAGCTGATGTAGTAATGATGATGTTTATTTGAGAGTAAAACGCCTCAGATGGCATGACTGACTGAAAAAAAAAACCCTAATTACAATCTGCTGTTGGAGCTGTTTGTGTGAGCGACACGTGGAAACGTAGATTTATCCTGAAGCTAACGCCTCCTGGTAACAGCTTCTACATAAAAGTGCTCACGTTGATTTTCTGTGTCCCTTTAGCCATTTGTGGGTGTAATGATTTTTGACATGCATGGTCTCCTGACCATGTCTTTGTTATTTGTCATCGATCAAAGTCCCCTTTCCAACATGCACTCCTTAAGTCAAAACACTGACTTATAGAGGATGGTGACACAAGCAGATGAACCACATGTAAGAAAGGAAAGGTAAAGAAAGAGAGCTGTAAACACACACACACACACACACACCTCACACTCCCACAAAGCATCAGAAGGGCACTCCCTGACACAAATGGATGTATACAAAAACACACAGAGAAAGAGCAGCTCACCGGTGCAGGGCTGTGAGTTGCATGGTCGGCCCTCCTCCAGCACACCCTCACACAGGTACGACTCCTCCGGAGGTGACTGGCAGGTCCTGGTCCGGGTCTGAATCCCGCCTCCGCATTCACTGCTGCACTGCGCCCACTGACCCCACACACTCCAGCCACCTACAGAGACACACAGCAGTCATTTAGAAAACGCTGCATTATTGTCAAGCCTTGATCAGAACACTGAATAATTTAAATTCATTTTTCAGCAACTAAGAAAAATAACATTATTATGAAGTGGAACATTGACATTAAAGTTTGGCATTGAAAACAAAACCTGAACTGAAAAAGAAAACAATGGCATTGAAACAAGGTTCCACTAAAATAACACTGGCATTACTATAATAAAAAATCTTATTATATTTAATTTTGATATTTTTTGTCTTATGCTGTCACTACTAAGAAGGTCAGTCTGCTTCTCTCATCTGTGGTCCTCGTTGAAGTTAAGCTCCGTCTGCTAACCTTACCTAATACAGTTAACTAACCCGAGGTCTCCCGCCCTGTGATGTCTTTTGTTGTTAGTGTTACTGCTGATGCAAGACGTCTCATCTACGCGCTAATGGTCAATACTCAGCATCACACCCCCGCACAGACAGTGCAGGAGGAGATGGGCAGGTTTTAAAGCACAGGTTAGCTAGCTGACCTGTGTTAGCTAACGTTAGCGCTTGTTCCAGCGGACTTCTGCTAAAGTTAACTTTAACCCATTCCGGACAATGTGAAGAAACGACGACAGAGAGAAGCAGACGTACCTGCAATTCATAAGTTCCAGGTGAACGTGTGTAAGCCAGGTATGCGGTCTCATAAATGCAACTGGATCTTACTCAACGTCGCCGCCAAGTCGGGCCGTGCAAGACTGCCCTGTGAACAAACACAAGTGAACAGAGGAGCTGCAGTTTTTCTATAACGTTTATATTTCTCAACCGGTTTCGAGTCATTTTTATATTCAAGGTTCATCTACATGGAGTAAAAATAAAAGTTTGGTCTGTAGTGATAGTTTTATACTGTAGTATAAAGTAGGAGTGAGTATCAACGTCAGGTTTACATGAACTGAATTACTGACCTGATGGAAAATAGAAAAGTCACTGTCATAAGGAAACTGTTGAGTAAACCGGTGAGTAAAATAAATGAGATAGTGAGACACTATTGCAGTCAGTCTGCTTTCTATAATTTATCAGTGAAATAATGAGATGCAACTTAATTGATCCCAGAGGGGAAATTCAGATGTTAAAGCAGGATAACATTTTTACATAATATCCTTAAAAAAAAAAAAAATTTTTTTTTAAAAATCCTAAATACAATGAGGTGTAACTTGAATATTTTATAATATTATAGTAACAGCATAAAATCAGAGTAGTAATAGTAAATAGTAAATGTAGTATAAATATTAGTTTAATTTAGTAAATACAGTAACATGAGTTTTAACTATTCGTTATGACAATGAGTTATTTTCAGTAAGTTACTCAGTTCATGTAAACCTAACGTTGATACTCACTCCTCCTTATAGAGAACAGTGATTACAGCCTGAACTATCATGATTCTAAGTAACTGGAGACAAAACTTTTATTTTTACTCCACACAGATCTTAAACCTCGACTATATAAAGGACTCATTGATATCAGTTGAGAAATATAAACGTTACAGAGATTTTTATCCAGAGAAACTGCAGCTCCTCCATTTATTCCTAGTTGTTTACCGGGCAGTCTTGCACGGTCCAATGTAACGGGGATGTTGACGGACGACCCAGCGGCCAATGTGGCATCTACGTGTATATGTCTACGGAAGCCATTGAATAGATGTGCGGTCCTGAATGCGGTCTGAATGTAAATAAATCACACACATCTTGCTCTTCCCCTCAAGCCCCCCCAAAGCTTTAAGCTTTCTTAACTTTCCTACATGTGGACATCAGTGGTGCAGGGAGAAATCTAGGGCAGAGGAGGATAGTGACCACCATACAGAGCAGAGAGCTGCCATCTATCAGGCCCTGATGTCCAGAAACTAGACCAAACATCCACACATATATAAAGACTGGTTTGTCAGTATTTACAGATAAACAGTGTAACAGTGCAAAAAAAAGTCCTGCATGGAACAACAGGCTGATAGTATCTAGCAGAGAGAGAGGAACTGAGGGGAGACTCTTCCTTTAACACAGGTGTGATGAATGTCACTGTCATTGTGAAATTCCCTGTTTGGCCATTCTGATTTAATGCGCTCCATTAAGATGTGTGCTGATATGAGGGGGGAGCAGGTAAAGAGCTGTCTTTCTCTCTGTGTCCTGCAAGCTCATGAATGTTTAATGTCACAGAAAGATGTGTCTCAGCCCCCACAGGCATCGACAATATGTATTCATCTGCATGAATAGTACATGAAGTTGGCCAACATCCAGACACTCACGTTCTTAATTACTCGCAAATCAGTTTCCTTTGTGGTGAGGGCAGAGATGAGCAAGTGCACAGTGGAGAGGAGTTCACTGACACTAGGCTAGCCCCTTTTAGCTTCTGGTTGTTGTTGCCGGCTGCACCAATGATGAGTAAAAAGTCCCAGTTCTGACGTGTTACCCACTGTACCTGACCTGACAACACATGTACTCCACAGATATCGGATTAAAGAGACAATCTTATGTTCTGCATTTAGCGGTTTACGACTTTCTCAGCTGGCTCACTGTGTGTTGTAGCAGCAACCAGATGATTCTTTGGGGAAAAATATCAGAAGCTCTGATGCTAACTTAGCGTGTTAGCGTGTTTTTTTCACAATATCAAAAAACAAAAAATCATGTGACAAATAAAACTTTGAACTGCTGTTTAGTGGCTGCATCAGTCATACCAGAAACATAGAATACAATAATATAATTATATATTATTAAAAAAAACAAATAAAACAATATAATTATATATTATTAAACAAACAAACAACTGAAATATAAAAGAAGTATCCCAGAATGCATTTCACACCAAATAGTAACAACGGCTGGGACTCTGAGCCAGGCTCGAAGCTGGAAAGACTGTTATTATGTCCCTTCATTAAGTTTTGATGTTTTTTCCATTAAGACGTCAAATCTGTGTCAGTTTACCCAAATAACGTCTGTTGGGAAATTTGCTGGGGCGTTTTCAGAGATGTGAGGACCGTCTTGCCGGGTGAGACCAGTGGTCACATCAGCAGCTCGCTGCCCAGCTCCTGAGATGAGCGGCCGGTCAGTGTGTTATCTCTGCAGCCTCCTGGTCAGTTACTGGTGGCTCTGTGTCTGTAGTGTTTTGATATGTGATAAAATTCCTTTTAGAAGATTCATATATATCACAGTTTGGATATGAAGTGCATATTTTACTACAGTCAGGTACAGGTGTGTTGAAGTGTAACCTGTGCCGAGCTGAGCTGATGATATTAGGAAGAACGCAGCTTTTCCAGCTGTAAATCGTCCTCCTGTCCTCAGGATCCATAGTCTGTTTCCTGCTTTGTTGTAATATCTCCCTGTAATGTGTGATGTCATGGAGCAACGTGTGCACATCATATTTGATTGTGTCCAACTCGACTGAGGCTGTGAAGGACTGCTGCTGTAAATACAGTGTTGCTAACGGTAATAATTGGTTAGGATGCTTTTGTAAATAATTAACATTCAAGGACTGAAACTATTCTAATCAAACGTTTGTTTTTCATTTTCAAACAGGCCTGAGGATTCAGAAAAAGAAAAGGTGAAATTCATCAGGCAGATAAATGACAGTAACAACACAGTCTACACTTTCCTGCAACAATTCCTCTAATATCTCATTTTTATTACAGGAAACAATAAAAGTAAACGTTGACTTCAATATCTCCCAATCCTAAAGACAGACAGACCACAGCATTTACTAGCAGTTTTAATGACCTCCAGTGTCAACATAAGGACAATGTTTCCTTTGTGTACAGGCTCGATAGGAATCAATCATTGGTATCTGATTGTTGATTGATTGTTCTATTGAACACCTTCATAACATTCAGATACAGATCCATTTCCTGCTGCACCATGTGACACAGTCATGTTGCAGACTACAGGGCCACAGAGAGTTGCCTTTGTCGGTTTTTACACCAGTCCAGTAACCAGAAGCGTAATGGCATTACCATGACAACGAGCTGTCACCGTCATTCGGTGACGTGCAAAATTTTATGTCCAAAGCCTGCGGCAAGATGTCTTTTATAAAGTTAGCAAGGACAAGGAAACATCATGAAGGAGAGAGGAAGAACAGTCGACCTGCGCGGTGTGTCCTGCGGTTTATACCACTTTTCCCTTCGCTCCTACGACCACTAGATGTCGCCTAGAAACAAAACGTAACTATGGGTCATAACAACCTGCTTGCACAGATGACCTGTGGACAGTCTCATGCTGTGCTTTCCTAACATACACATACTTCGGGGGTAATTCGGGGGTTCAGTACCTTGCCCAAAGACGCTTACAGACTGGAGGAGCTGGGACTCGAGCCACCGACCTGCTACTTAGCAGACAACCTGCTCTACCTCGTGAGCCAATGTTCTCCTGTTACAGGACTTATCGGGTCTTCTGTCTTGTGACTGCTGATCTCTCTGAAGTTCAATATTGACTTTATTAAATGATCATTATTTTAAAGTCCAACAGGTGATTAAATGAACGTGTACAAGGCGATGATGAACCCAGTGATTAGCCTCCCTTCATACAGAGCAGCTGATCCACTGTGAACCTCTCTGCAGATCCTGTGCTTTGGGACTGAAGTGAAGCAGAGTGACCTTCAGCCACTATCCTGAATCATTCAGGGTTTATTGTGAACAAACATGCTTTATGAATACAGAGGAAGATTAACTGCAGTTTGGAGCAAAGGACAGAAGCTCCTTGTGTCAAATGAAGGCTTTGGCAAGGCGATAGAAAGAGAGGGGGGAGGCTCCGTTTACAGATAAGATTCATTCTTCTACAGGGAAAATAAAAGGCAAAACGACAAGACGAGGAACTTTTTTCCCCCTTTCCTGCCCAATAATCAGAGGGAGGAGTGTAACAGTGTTGTCTTTCTGCCTCTGCAAGGACATTTTATTATGTGCTCAGTAATTCAGGGGGGCCTTTTGTCAGAACAGCCCTGGTAGCAGGAGCAGCTGCAGAGTCCAAGTCACCTCAGTAATCCTCAGAC